TCCAGTAGAGGTTCAAGCTAAAAGTGTAAATTTGAACTTTGTTTCTTAGTCACCACCATATGTGGGAACTGTTGCTTTACTTTGGAGTGCATTTTAATGTCCCCAAAAAGGAAGGTTGATAGTGACCAATCAGCTCAGTTTTTTCCTTACCTCGTTTGTTGCTCTGCAGCTATGTACTAGGTGCTGGTTGGTGGGTTTTCCTACCAGAGTACTGATAGCAGGCCGGATAGAGTGAGATGTCCCCTTTGTCTTCAAGCTGACAGCTACTGGATTCCTGCCAAGGCATTGGCTTACCTTATCTTGCCTTCACAATATTTCTGTGGGTGGAGAGAGCCCCCTGTCCCCATTTTTAGCTTGAGGAAATGAAGCCCGAGGTTGCGCAGCTGTGATAACGGTGGCATTAACTCAGGTGTGCTTAAACCAGTCAGTCTACTTACTCTCCCTCGTCCTTTCCATTATGAAATATTTCAGGCATACAAAGTAGAGAACAATATAAGGAATATTCAACTATCCCCATCCACTTTTTTTTTTTTGGAGACAGGGTCATCTTGCTCTGTTGCCCAGGCTGGAGTGCAGGGGTGCGATCATAGCTCACTGTAGTCTTGACATGCCTGGCATAAGCAATCCTCCCCCTTCAGCCTCTCAAGAAGCTGGGACCAGAGGTGTGTGCCACCACGCCTGGCTAATTTCTTTTTAAATTTGTTTTAAATATAGGTAATATAGGGTCTCCCTATGTTACCCAGACTGGTCTTGAGCTCCTGGGCTCAAGCAGTCCTCCTGCCTCAGCCTTCCAAAGCGTTGGGATTACAGGCATGAGCCGCCACGCCTGGCTCCCTATCCATCTTAAAAAAAAAAAAAAAGTAAATCCAACTGAAACTTTCTGAGGATGCTCTTTATGTTACATCATTTCCCTCTGTCACAGAAAAGGTTATTTAGAAATCCTTAGGAAAGTCCTTAAACGGGATAGAACTGTAATATTTTGATATATGCACATACTCTGGTAGATGGTGTGGAGAATACAGAGATGTGGTCCCCACCCTCAAGGGACCAGAAACTTATTGCACAGTAAGTTGAATGCTGTGGAACTTGGGTAAGTATCTCCTGAAAAGCTGACACATTCACATTTGGCTGGTGCAGTTAACTTAGAATAAGTAAGTTTAAAGAAACCCTGAATTACATAAAGAAAGGGAAGATATTCCTTCTATCTTAAAAATCCAGGCTGTTCTTCAATGGTATGGAAGAGCATAACAAGGTTATTAGTTGCGTTTTCCTTTTAATGTGTTTTTAAGTGTTATTCAAAGACAGCATAGTCTAACCTGAGTCGTGATAGCAATCTGGCTCCTTACTGGTGATTGCTCCAAAGTAAATATGTGTGAAAATGAAAAATACCAAGTTGGTATTAACAGTTCACTTTCTAATATGAGAAATGCTTCAATAATAGAAATGCCTTGACAACAACAAAGTATGTTAAGAACTAGTTGATACTTAGGATCCAGTGTAAGTAATTGTAGTGTCATTACCTGTAGGCCTGGATTCTGGCCTTTGGTTCTGCAGGAATCATGAGGGAACTTCCAGCAGATGGCTGCTGCATCCATGAGCATTCAGAATACAGGTAACTTTGGAGGCAGTGGGCAAAGTCAGTGTCACTAACTGTACTACAAACACAGGTCAGTGCAGGCTGTTGGAGCCAAGGCTTTATGTCTTAGGTTTTACAACCAGGCTTACGTTTCAGTCTGGATTTAAACAATGGAGTGCCTGTCTCCAGGGAGGAGAAGAAAAGATTTATGCAACTAAAAAGGAAAGCTTGTAAACATGTCCTATTGTTGCAAGATACTGATCCTATGTGGATGCCTTCATGGTAAGCCTGGTAACATTTATGGACCCTTGGAATGACTTTGTTCCTGTCTGGTTAAGAGAAGTTGGCTTTTTGCAAATTCAGACTTACAGTTTAGTGATAACAAGCCATAGCAGTCAGGGGCATGTGTGTGTGTCTGTGTGTATGTGTGGTGTGTGTGTGTTGTTTTAAGGAACAGGAGCTCCAATTCCAAATGACTTAAGAAGGGAATTTACTGGCTCATAACTGAGGCATGTAGGATAAGGTAAGGCACAGTTGATTGGCCGTGACCGAGTCACATGCCCAGCCCTGGGGTTGGGGATTGCTATGGTTTGAGTGTTTTTGTCCCCTCTGAGAATCATGTTAAAACAATTCCCAATGCAACAACGTTGGGAGTTGGGCCTAATGGGGGATGTTTAGGTCCTGAGGGATCCACTCTCTTCAAAGGATTAGTACCACCATAAAAAGGCCTGGTGGGAGCGGGTTCACCCTCTTCTGTTCTTCTGCCATGTAAGGTACAGTGTTCCTGGCCTCCAGAGGATGCTGCATTGGAGGCACCATTCTGCAGCACAGATGGGGCCCTTAGCAGACACTAAACCTGCCGTACCTTGATCTTGGACTTCCCAGCCTTCAAATCTTTATATTCTCAGTCTATTCTTTATAAATTACCTAGTCTCTGGTATCCTGTTACAGCAACACGAAACAGATGAAGATAGGGGTAGAATCAATACCATCTAAAACCAGTGCTTTTCAAACCATCTATGGTAAATGTGTTAGTCTGTTGTCACGCTGCTAATAAAGACATACCTGAGACTGGGTAATTTATAAAGGAAAGTAGTTTAATTGACTCACACTTCCACATAGTTGGGGAGACCTCACAATTATGGCAGAAGGTGAATGAGGATCAAAGTCACATCTCACATGGCAGCAGGCAAGAGAGCGCGTGCAGGGCAACTCCCCTTTATAAAACCATCAGATCTTGTGAGACTTATTCACTACCATGAGACCAGCACACAAAAGACCCACCCCGCAGGATTCAGTTACCTCCCACCAGGTCCCTCCCACAACACATGGGAATTATGGGAGCTACAATTCCAGATGAGATTTGGGTGGGGACACAACCAAACCATATCAGTAAAGGACTGTTATTTTTAATTTCCAAGTACAGACCGATGGCTCTGTTCAACAAGATGAGTTCACTGATCTTCTCTTAGTTCTTGTGGCATAAAAGTTTCTAAATGCTTACCTGAATTTTATCTCAAATTGGTGACAAGAAGAGTGGCCCATCCATCTCCAGGAGACCACATTTTAATAAGCACTTCTCTAAACCACATGGTCTAAGAAAGAGATGAGATGGCTGCTTTTCCAGAAGACAGTCTAGGGAAGGTATCACCAGAAGAGAGGCAAGAGAATACTGAGTGCTGGAAAGTTGCCCACCGCAGTGATCAGCTCCATTAATCTTTCTTTTGGAAAGGCCTCATCTTTGTGTTCAGGAAATTGTCAGGTTCTGGATCACCTTAATGGGGAAGGATGAGAATTCCTCACATCCCTTTTGATTTTAACGATTAGAGACTCTTAAGTCTTTTCTACTTAGCAGCACTCTGTTTCCCTTCTCTTTCTAGCCAGGTTTAGATTAGTAAGAGGCCTCGGCCTTATTAGCCACCTGTTTCCTAGAGAGGCAAGCAACCTATCTAAGGAGACTTAACAGGCAAGGGCTGCAAATGCCACTCTACAGAAGGAAGCCCGGAAAGGATGACGGGGAAAGGGGAATTAATTGCTTGTGTTTTTAGATACCACTCAAGGCAGGGCAGACATAACATGCCTTCTTAGCAGGACAACTTTCTATATTGGTTAAGGCATCTGAGGAAGCTGGCCATTCAGAACCAGGCTTTTTTTTTTTTTTTTTTTTTTTTTTTTTTTTTTGTCAGAGTCTCGCTCTGTCACCCAGGCTGGAGTGCAGTGGTGCAATCTTGGCTTAGTGCAACCTCCGCTTCCTGGTTCGAGCAGTTCTCCTGCCTCAGCCTCCCAAGTAGCTGGGATTGCGGGCATCTGCTACCACACCTGGCTAATTTTTTTTTTTTTTTTTTTAATTTAGTAGAGACATGGTTTCACTGTGTTGGTCAGGCTGGTCTCAAACTCCTGACCTCAGGTGATCCACCCACCTTGGCCTCCCAAAATGTTGGGATTACAGGCATGAGCCACCATGCCCGGCCAGAACCAGGCATTTTAAAGTGGTCGAGGCAGACCGATTTGTTGAGAAGGGAGATGAGAAAATGTTGGCCTTACATGACAGCAAGACAGCCTAGGATCTGTACTTCCAGCTTGCCCTTTACAGCAGGCCATACTGTTCAGAGGCCATTCCTGCGTGCTCAGCAAACAGTTCAATTGGTAGGAAGGGAACTTGTGGCACATTCTGTATGGCCTGACTGACTTGTCAAAGAGGAAAACCCAACTGTTGGCTGGACTAGTGGGCCTTGGGGTTAGTGAAGCATAGAAACTTAAGCCAGAGCCATCTGGATGGGCGTTTGTTGTGGTTACAGCAAAGACTCCGTGCATGCAGTTGTATGAGTCACAGACACAGCTATTTACACTACAATCATGTAATTTCAGCAAACAAATGTAAAACTTGTTCTTGCAGGGCAACACACTTTCTTCCCTAGAAAGCGTGTCATAGCTTATATATATTAAATGTTAAGAATTTAGTGTTGTCACAATGCATTATAAACATGTAATTAAGACCCCCACCCAAGGGTAAGATCTTCAGCTGAGTTTTAAAAAAATGTTTATTAAAAATGGGCATGTTAGGGAGGGGGACAAAGCTTGCCTTTCCCCTCCCCACGCTTCTTTCTTGACTCCTGTGGAGTCTAATGGCATAGTTTGTTTTGTTCCTGATGACCTGTACTGTTGTATTGAATGCAGGTCCTTTGTCTGGCAGGAAAAAAAAAAAAAAAAAAATCTTGTGCACGACAAGCCAGTTTCCTAATGTAAGAGTTGTGATTTGGGAGAGGAGACGAGGTTATTTTGGAGGAACGCGGGTCTTTGAAAGATGTGGTTAGAGAGGTTCATAAAGAAACAAAAATCTGCAGCTGTCCCTGGGCTTAAACAGCCCTCTAGGGAGCCGTGCGACCAGCACAGGGACATTCTAATGAAGCCTTTATTCCTTCAGAATGCCTGTCTGGGGAGGTGGAAACAAGTGTGGGGCCTGCGGGAGGACCGTGTACCACGCAGAAGAGGTGCAGTGTGATGGCAGGAGCTTCCACCGCTGCTGCTTTCTCTGCAGTAAGTAGCTCCCCGTGCTCCACCTCTGACGGAATCTGTATGTACAAAGCTTCAATATGCCTATTTAAGGAAAAGTTGTGGTTTTGCAAACAAAGATCATTTTGAAAGCACGAATGTTTTTTACCAGTCGTCTTAGATGTTGTAAATGCAAGGCTAGCAGCGAAGACTGGAGGGGTGGCCCAAGACACACCGCCTCCCTTTGTGTCCCCACAGCTCTTGGCCTCTGTTTTGGCCTTTACTTTGTTAACACATCTGCCTCCCCCACCTCACTGAGAGCTGTGTGTCGCTTATGTGGTCTGGCACCTAGCACAGTTTCTGGCACATTGCAAGCGCTTAGCTCCCATTTTTGAGTAGATGAATTGCTCATCATCCAGCCCAGCTTTCTCTTTCTCGGGTTCCCTTTAATGACAACAAAGTCTTCAGTTTTAAAACTGTAGAGTAGCAACTTAAGAAAGCACATCATTAATCATCTTCTGATTTAATGACAGAATTTTCTTCCGTGAATGATTATGTCAGATAAACCCACCCATACGGGCAGATGTTCACCTTATCAATAGTATTGTACAGGGAAAATTCCTGCAGAAAACCATAGGTTAAAAATTGGTTACGTTGAGAAATAATCTTCAGGAAAAGACTTCTTTTCTCAAATTTGAATAGTCCTTGTCCCTCATTGGAGCCAGCATTCAAGGTATCTGGACCTCTTTAATCGCATAACTGCTTTGCAGACAACAGAAAGTTGCAGTTACAAAAAAAAAAAATGTACAAAAAAAAAATACATTCCTATGTATAAGAATACTACATAGGAATGTTCCCTATGTATGCCTCCATAATAATTATGCTACTGTTCCTCAGAAGACTTGGTTTAACCATTTCTTTTAGAAGTTACTTTTTTAAAAAAGGAATCTATTTTTCAGCAGGCTTGTAACTAAGAAAGTATGGAAACAGAATGCAAATACTTCAGAAATTGCTCTCAGTTTCATGTGTCTAGGTTAAGCCACAATGTCTACACCATAATAAAACAACACATACATGTATGCTGTTGACATTTGTTTTACTAAATGTCAAGTTCTTTACTGGTCATTTCTACCAATCCTTTCTAATATTTGTCTCTGCTGACTAAAGCCTTTTAAGGAAATAATTCAGAGTAGTTTGCAGACCTATGAGAATTTTACTGCAGAGAACAGGGATGAGGACTGGGGAAGAAAGGGGTGGTTATATAGTAACATTTTCATATACTTACACTTGTTTTGGTTCATACAGGTTTTTCAAAACAGTTTTTACATTTATTTACATTTATTCTGTCTGTGAAGGGTAGTTGTCCTTCAGCAGTGTTAGCTTAAATATGGTTTAAGATATAGTTATCTTTAGGTATGTGTATTTCAGCACTTGAGCCTCAACAGTTAGATTCCAGAGTAGATGTCATTTCATTCTACCATAGAAGACTTTAGTCTAAGATAATAGAACTTTCAAAATTTAACTCTATTTTAAACCAGCCAGCTAGTCCTCCTTCCCTCCCTTCCTCTTTGCTGTCCTTCCTTTTGTCCTCCTTGTTGTTGTTGTTGTTGTTGTTTTTAGTTTTTTGTTTTTGTTTTTGTTTTTTTTTAAATGGAATCTCGCTCTGTCGCCCAGGCTGGAGTGCAGTGGCGCGATCTTGGGTCACTGCAAGCTCCGCCTCCCGGGTTCATGCCATTCTCCTGCCTCAGCCTGCCGAGTAGCTGGGACTACCGGCGCCCGCCACCACGCCCTGCTAATTTTTTCTTTTTAGTAGAGATGGGGTTTCACTGTCTTAGCCAGGATGGTCTCAATCTCCTGACCTCGTGATCCGCCCGCCTCAGCCTCCCAAAGTGCTGGGATTATAGGCGTCAGCCACTGCGCCCGGCCTTGTCCTCCTTCCTTTTATTCAACCCCCCCCCTTTTATTTTTCTTACTTTTAATTTTTATGGGTACATAGCAGGTATATATATTTATGGGGTACATGAGGTGCTTTGCTACAGGCATACAATGTATGTTAATCACATCATCTTAAATGAGGTATCCATCACCTCAAGCATTATTTTTTTGTTACCAACATTCCAGTTATACTCTCTTATTTTTAAACGTACAATGAATGATTGTTGACTGTAATCATCTTGTTGTGCTATCAAATACTAGATCTTATTCACTATATTTGTATACCCACTAACTCTCCCCACTTCCCTCCCGACACCGTACCCTTCTGAGCCTTTGGTAACCATCATTCTACTCCGCATCATCATACAATTGTCTTTTAAATAAGGGGGAGAAATTCTGATCTTTGATTTCCAGCTGCCAGATTGTGCTACCAGTGAGTTTCCTCACAATTTACTTTTTTGTCAAGCTTAATTGAAGTTTTAGAAAGTGAAATAATGTCTGGATGAAACATGATGACATTTGGCAGTTTTATGAAGTCGGACACGTGGAAATGTCCTGTGGCAAGAGATCCATCAAGAAAGAATGCATTCTCCTTTGGGACAGAAGGGAAAACAAATGCAGACTTTAAAGCACTTGACGATTTTCAGACAGGCTCATCACTGCTGGAGAAGCTGCTGGGGAGAGGAAAGGGTGATACTTCTTCCCAGTCTAGACTAATGATGAAAACTAGAATTCAGGATTTAAAACTATTTTTATCCCGGGGGTGTCTACTGGGGAGGAAAGGATACAGAGGCAAGTCCCCCAAGGCACTGAGCTACCCTTCTGTTCTTTGTTAGGTTGTGATTTAACAGGACTTGGTAAGACAAGGCTGAAAAGATTAAGAGTGTTGAGGGTTGGGAGCAAGGTGGTGTTTTATTCCTTTTGTTTAAGTAATTTATAGCCACCTCTGACACTTTGCTCCCTTAATATCATCTCCCAGAAAGGGAAATCATAGTAAAAGTTTGATCGGCACCATAGGAAAGGGAATACAAAATAAATGAAACAAACTAAAAATAAATAAAGCTTGAGGCTTCTGGATGTTATATTCTTGATACATTTCTGAAGCAACTGTCATATCGGTGGAGGAATGTAAATAATCCTCAAATGTAGCTGGCCAGTCCAGATGCTGTCTCATGGCTTTTGGGAAGCCACAGGATAAACCAGGAATGTGAGGGAGCCTCAGCCTTTACCATTTGTGGGCCATGTGTGTGCCACCATTGTTCTAAGGAAAAAGGCGTCTTTGGAACATGTGTAAAGTCTAACTTTTTCCCCTGCAGTGGTTTGCAGGAAAAATTTAGATAGTACAACTGTGGCAATTCACGATGAAGAGATCTACTGCAAATCCTGCTACGGAAAGAAATATGGGCCAAAAGGCTACGGTTACGGCCAGGGCGCTGGCACGCTTAACATGGACCGTGGCGAGAGGCTGGGCATCAAGCCAGAGAGGTGAGTTGGGAGACTGTTGGTTACCTTCAGAAATGAGTTGCGACAGTTAGTGCCGCTTGCTGAACAGGAACCTGGGAGTCTCCAGATTTTTAGTTGAAACTAAGTAAATAAAATGGGACTCTGATTTTCTCATGTAAACTAGTGACTATTCTTTAAGTTCAAAATATTGAGTTTTGGACCTAACAAAGTTCTCATTAATAATTCCAGTGATTTCTGTTCCTGGCTTTATAGCATTCCAAGCTGTATCAAGGAGTCCTGTTCTGAAAAGCAAGTGATTTATATTTACTTCTATTTCGCAGCACCTTGGAGACCGGATGTCATGAAATTAAATGGTAGAGAAATGTGCTGTGTGAATCATGAGAGGCGTTTCTCATGTGCAGTGTAAGCAGTCAATGCGAATTCGTCAGTCCCTCCTTCTATGTAAACATTTTTCATCAAGAAATCATTTTTCTCTAACTTAAAAATGGAAATTATTTCTTGTTTTTGATTCTTTGAGAGAGTAGTATTAAACTTTAAAGGCTTTGGTGCCAACATATCAAGGTGCTAAATTTGTTAAAGTTCACTTAGTATTTCATATTCAGGTTAAATAACTTCCTTGTTTAGAATTCCCCCCACACACACTTTTTTTTTTCTTTTTCTTTTTTGTGACAGAGTCTCACTCTGTCACCCAAGCTGGCGTGTACTGGCGCAATCTCAGCTCACTGCAACCTCTGCCTCCCAGGTTCAAGTGATTCTCTTGTCTCAGCCTCCTGAGTAGCTGGGATTACAGGTGTGCACCACCACGCCTGACTAATTTTTGTATTTTTTGTAGAGGTTGGGTTTCACCATATTGGCCAGGCTGGTCTCGAACTCCTGGCCTCAAGTGATCCACTTACCTCGGCTTCCCAAAGTTCTAGGATTACAGGGATGAGCCACCGTGCCCAATCTGGAATTTCCTCTTAATTCCTATTTTTAACCCATTGATTCTACTTTTTGAACTTAACATTTTCACATCCATTTTATATTGAAAAGTCCAAAATTAGTGTAATAGTCCAACAAAATGGCCCTTGGACAAGACCATAAACCGTGCCAGTCACTGTGCAGCATTAGCATATGTTAACTCTTGTAATCCTCACAACAGTCCTACAGCAGAGGGCATCCTCTCTTTCTTCAGAGCAAATGAAGACAAGAAAAATCAAGTAAAAACTTTGCCCAAAGTCACACTGTTAGTTAATTGTAGAGCCTGGAACTTAACCTAGTCTAACTCCAAACCTTATGACCTGAATGAAACATGGTGCTTGGCTTGGCTAAAATAATGATTACCATGTATTGAGTCCCTGTTGTCTGTTGAACATTTATCTTCATTCTGTATAATCCTCAGAGTAACTCTGAGGTGTAGATACTTTGTCCGTTTTATAGATGATGACACTAAGAGTCAGGTCACACAAATAAATGAGAGAGCCAGGATTTGAACCAATGTCCATTTGGTTCCAAAATCTGTTCTCTTCCAACTGCGGTATGTACTACATTGAGGCTCACCTCTGTGTTCTTTGAGCTTCTTCCACCCTCAGAGTTTCTGGGCCATGATGCCCAGCTTACCTTTTTATCTTTGTTAAGATTTGTTTTACCTGCTGTGCTCCCCTTTTCCATCTTATTACATCTATTTTTGTGCTCTAAAGGTTTTATTGAAAACCTTTTAAAATTTAAAGCACAAAGACCAGTGAACCCTCCTTTATTTATTATTATTATTTTTTATTTAATATAGACAGGGTCTTGCTATGTTGCCCAGGCTGGCCTCAAACTCCTGAGTTCAAGTTATCCTTCTACATTGGCCCCCCAAAGTGCTAGGAAGACATTGTTTTTCCAGTAGGAAAAATTAGCAGTTGTGGAGTGCTGTCATTTTATCTGCTCAGCTAATTTATAAGGTTCTAAAAGGGCTTAAAAAAAAAAAAAGTCTTCTCCCATCCTGGCTAACACGGTGAAACCCCGCCTCCACCACAAAATACAAAAAAAATTAGCCAGGCGTGATGGCAGGCGCCTGTAGTCCCAGCTACTCGGGAGGCTGAGGCAGGAGAATGGCGTGAACCTGCGAGGTGGAGCTTGCAGTGAACCGAGATCGCACCACTGCACTCCAGCCTGGGCGAGTGCGTGACTCCGTCTCAAAAAAAAGAAAAAAAAAAAAAGAAAAAAAAAAGTCTTCCCAAAGCCTGAGGGTGTTCTGCACCTACTAGGTACACCTTACTGCATGGAAACAGTTCCTACTGATAGCAAGAAATATGGTTCACTCAGTGATCTGTAAATAGTGACAGAACTACCACCCTTATCAGAGAACAATGAAAGATAAACAAATGGCATAGTAATAATAAAGATTTCCAAAATATTTTTCCATGAAGAAAGTTGGCTGTTCACACTTTCCTTTATTCAAGATATACTGGGAGACTAAGTAATCTATAAAACATGCTTAACTTTCTTAGTTATAGACCAAAGTCAACTTACCTATTTGTGGAATTTTTAAACTGCTTAACAGTGATTTTTCCAACTCATGTGAAGTAAAAAGTTAGCTATGATTCCAGTGATATTCTGGAGTAAAAATATATGCTCTGGTAAGTTTTAATAAACCATAACATAACTGCTTAGTTGAGAGGCCAACACTGAGGATTAAATGAATTCTGTTTAGACTCGGACAGATCTTTAAGTCTGAGTCCCTGTCTGGTTTTTGTAATAATAAATGAGCCCATAGATAGGTTCAAGCAGTAACTCTGGCTGGCACCTGAGTCATTTCTTCTTCATTTCCTCCCCTGTCCTGGGCTGCGAAGGCCTCCAGCTTTGAGGCAATATAGCAGTTAAGTCCCAGAGTTCCATTGTTCCTGCCTTGTGTACTTAAAAGGGCCCTGTGGAAACTCTTGCCTACTTTCTTTCCCTCTTTCCACAAGTGTTCAGCCTCACAGGCCTACAACAAATCCAAACACTTCTAAATTTGCTCAGAAATATGGAGGTGCTGAGAAGTGTTCCAGATGCGGGGATTCTGTATATGCTGCCGAGAAGATAATTGGAGCTGGAAAGGTAAAGTGCTATTTCGAATTAATAACAGCAAATGAATCCTCTCTGCTCCCTTTCTCCCCCTAACCCTTCCACATTTCTTGCTTGGGTGATGTCTTATAAATCAGTGTCCTATATGAAACTTTTCTTTAAATGCACTTCCATCAGAATTACTAACTTTTTTGAAGTGATTCCCTTACTTGACAAGTCACTTTTATGTTTGAAAGAAGTTGTTTTCATAGGGGGCACTCCTGAAGGTTAAACTTTAAAAGGCCAGACTCTAAGGGAAGCTCCAGGTTATTCAATATAGTGAAAAAAAGCAGGAGTCCGAGTCAGGACACCTGATGCGAATTCAGTGTATGCATTTGGAAAAGTTACCAGCTAACCTCTTTGAGCTGCGCTGTTCTTGGCCAGATAGAAGATGGTCTGTTTAAAGGAGCAGACTGGGCTTGTGCTTAGGACTGAGGCTGCTCTTAGGGAAACAGCCTTTCTGTGGGTGATCAGGAGTGCAGATACTGAGGTCTGGTTTCAGCCTTCTCACTGGAGCTGAACCACAGAAGTCAGGAGCTTGCTTTGGGGTGATCATGCTGAGCCACTTCTTGCTACACATCTAATTGAACTGTAGGAAACAGACCTCTCAAACCTGCTGACACGTTCATCTCTTCCAGCCCTGGCACAAAAACTGTTTCCGATGTGCAAAGTGTGGGAAGAGTCTTGAATCAACAACTCTGACTGAAAAAGAAGGTGAAATCTATTGTAAAGGTAAAATTAATTTCAGTTACTGCTGTCCATATGAATATCCCACCCTGGTTCTTATTTAATGAAATGTCACTGGTATTAAAAAAAAAAAGAGAGAGAGAAAGGGGTACCACTATTTGAAAATAAAATATCCCAAGATGCTTATAGATGACAGAGAACCACAGATAATCTTAAGTTCCTGATCATCTAAAACTCCCCCTAGATAAAAACACTACAAATAGCCATCTTTTGCCTTCATCTCTTGAGCAAAGCGTTAAGTATATGGAAGAAAATAGACAAATACATACCTTACCTGGCCTGACTCATGCTTGCAACTTAGCAAGACCACGCTGAACACTGTGGAGCCAGAATGTGTGGACTTGTCTTTATAGCTTTAATATATTTAGTACATGACCTATTTAACATCGTAAATAAGTTGAGCCCTTTTACAAAGCAGTTTGTTTTATTTATGGGGGTTTATTGAGTGGGTCTTCAGCAGTGTTAGCAAAGCTTAATGGACTTGCACTAACTATCCTTCCTCCCTTTTCCTTTGTAGGATGCTATGCAAAGAACTTTGGGCCCAAGGGATTTGGCTATGGCCAAGGAGCAGGGGCTCTTGTTCATGCCCAGTAAGGTGTAAACCCTGAACTAAACATCACACACTGAGAATCTCTTCATAACCTAGGCACAGATAATCTTTAACACTAAACTACTGTGAAATTCTACCAGCATTAAGTACTGTATATTGCCCTGTACTTGGATAGGCTGGCTAACTTGTAGGAAGAGAGCACTGTATCGTATCCTTTTGCTTTATTCACCAGCATTTTGGGGGAACATTTCTTTTACATTTTAAATAAAACTTCAGCTTGATTTGGGTGTTCATTGTCTTTTAATTAATCTTTTGGAGGAGAGGCTCTGATTTCAGTTAGTGGAAAATCATTTGGGTCCCTACCTTTGTTACCCCATTACCCAGTTGACTCATTAATGTTTGCATTACAACTGTTGAAAAGGATCTCTCTCTCAAGCAGGCAAGTGCGCCTTAAGAGTAAAGGTTGCTAGGCAACAGGCATCGCCATTTCAGCTCCTCAAAGCTGGTGTTCAGCAGTGCAGCATCTCCTCCTTTTCCTCCCCGCTGTACTCTTAAGTTCTTTTGATTAATCTATACCTAAAATTCAGTGCAACCTACGGGCAACTATAGAATCTGAGACTTAGTATGATCCTTTTTAAAGACTCTCCACTGTGATCTAATAGATGGTGACCTACTAAATCCTGGAAACGGGGGTGTTTCACACATTTTGATTCTGTATAAGTAGCAAAGAATGTTGCATTGTCTGGGCACATTCAGCTGGCTTCGGTAGAAGAGGAGCATTAGACTTTATAAGGTATGGCTTCATTATTCCCCCAGAAAGTTTAGTTCTTTACTAGAGATTCAATCCAACTCCCTCACCCCCAGGAGCAGGGTGTGTAATAGGTGTAATGTGTATCTGTGCTGCGTTAGTGTGTTAGTAAAATTGAACCAGCCGTGAACACATCTTAATCTTTTCCGAGGTTCATTTTAACATACTACACTGTGAGTCTCGCTCTTTTGCCCAGGTTGGAGTGCAGTGGTGTGATCTCAGCTCACTGCAACCTCCACTTCCTGGGTTCCAGCGATTCTTGTGCCTTAGTCTCCTGAGCAGCAGGAACTACAGGTATGCCACTACACCCAGCTAATTTTTATTTTTTTAGTAGAGATGGGGTTTCATCATGTCGTCCAGGCTGGTCTTGAACTCTTGGCCTCAAGTGATCTGCCCACCTAAGCTTCCCAAAGTGCTGGGATTACGGGCATGCACGGCCAATATATTGCTTTTTTGAAAAGCTAAGGGGGATGTGGTATGTATGACATTAAAAAAAAAAAAAAGCAGAAACAAAGTGGGAGGAAGTTGGTGGACGGTGTACTGGGTGCTTATTTCACATCATAGCCTTGAGCAACTTCAGGTGTTTTATGAGGCATACCAGCTCCATCACAGTGGGGCAGGAGAGGTAGTTAAGCAGGATGGGAAATAGTTAATTGGCAATAAAAGAGGCTGAAGGAGAGGAGTTATTAACTTCTGATTCTGTATGTGGTAGAACATGTCCACAAATTATTTACGTTCCCATCAAATGACAGTCTAATTGCCCTTTCTTTGAATAAAGGCCCACCTTAGTGACTCATTCTTAGTGTTTTGGCTAAGGCTAGGTTAGAAAAGACAATACAGCTTTTGCCTGCCTCTTCCTCTTAGGATGCTTACTTTTGGAATTCAGCCATGTTCTTGAGGAAGCCCTGACTACATGGGGAAACCACATGTAGGCATATTACTGCCATAGCTTCAGCTGAGATCTCATTCAACAGTCATGTCAGCCACCAGGCATGTGAGTGAAGCAGCCTTCAGATTATTTTAGTCTCTGTTAAGCCCTGACCAAATTGCAGATCTACAAACAAAAATGTTTTAGATCACCAAATTTTGGGGTAGTTTGTTAGCATTCCTACCATGTTTCCCAAACTCTACTGGAGTTGCTAGTAGATATTCAAGAGGAAAAACAATGTAAATGAAGTTTCCAGGTGACTGGTAATTTGAGATTTCTGTCTGGTAAAATAAGATATCCATTCATATTTTAAATCATTCTTGATTAAATTGGGAGCCATGGCAAAACAGCTACTCCACTGTGAGATTAGTTTCCAGTGGTTCCAGGAGTGGAAAAAGGAATTTGGCTTTGGGCCAGACTGTTTTGGGAGGAATCACTTGGTCATTTGGATGTCAGCAGCCCCAAAGTAATCCGAATGCAATATTAAAGTGCTGCATGTCACAAAATACATATTTTAAAAACTACCCCTTATGTTGGTTTGGTATATTTAAGGAGGACTGCTGGCAACTCTAGTGCCAAAAAAGTCTTCTCGATCAAGTAAGTTTAGGGAGTGTTACAGAAATGAGACAGATCTGTAGGCTGACACTGCACACTAGCTACTGAAGGCCTTGAGAGCCTATGGTTGAAGTCTTTTAATTTGAAGAGAGCCTTACACTGAATTAGTTGTCCATGGAACCATTAACATCTTGGGAAATGTTCTGAACCTGTGGTTTCCAAACAGTTTGATCTCAGGACCCCTTAATATTCTTAAATTATTGAGAACTCCAAAGAGCTTTTGCTATGACAGTTGTCTCTATCAATATTTTGTATTAGAAATTAAAAATTTTTAAATTTTAATTCAGACTTCCACTTAAAGCCAAAATGTAATAACAGGGACCAGATTTATCTTCTCACTGTAAACAAGACAAATTACATGAAAAAATGTTCAAGACACTGCACATTATAGGCAACAAAGGCCATTCATGGGGGCAAAAAAAATGAGATCAGTCCCAGCAACTACCAAAGCTTACTGCTTTGAGTTTCCAGGCTGAAGTACAAGGAAGAACACAGGTGGAGCTAGAAGCCACCCTAAGTTAAGACAGAGCTGGGTCCAGGGAGACCCAGGTGGCTAGAGTTTGCAGGACTGGAGAGGATTAGATAGAGCAAACTTTAGGATTATACAGACCACCACCCCACCGTGCAAGTCTTCAGCTGAATTCTGATAGAACATGCATGTTAGGTGACTACCTAAGGCCAGGGAAAGAGCCATCCAAAAGGTGTGGAGCAAACATTGTCTGGTGCTCACATGGAATGGGAATAGTGCCTGTTCCACTAACAAGACTGGGAAACATGACTCCCTGGGGTTTTGGATAGAGTACAGAGAAGGCTCTTACCTCAGTAAGAGCAATGCTTTGGTCTTGCCTAACATCTTAAAAGCAAGACCTCAAAGGATCAGATTTTCCAAGTAACTTAACTGTATCCTGAATAAAGCTCAAGAGTTTATAGAAACACAAAAATATCAGGCACCCAATTCATAGTGTTTGGCATCCAAACAAAAATTATCAGGCATGCAAGAATGAGGGCAAAAAATATCAAAACCAACTCAGAACTGACAAATGTAAACATTAGCAGGTAAGGATATGAAAAGTTATTAGACCTACATGTTTTCAAAAAGTTAAGACACTGAAGGTATTTTAAAAGGTCCAAATCAAACATTGTAGGTGAAAACAAAATGTGAGATGAAAATAAACTGAATGATATTGACTACACATTGCAAAAAACAAAACAAAACAAAACAAAACCAGTAACTTAAAGACAGAAACTATCTAAAAAAAAAACACTGAGAAAAAGAATATTAAAAGCCAATGAAGGATCCATCAGTGAGTTGGAAGACAATCTCAAGTGGCCTAACATATATGAAATTAGAGTTTCCTGAAAGGAGGGGAGGAAAAATAATTGAAGAAAGAGTAACTGAAAAATTTCCAAATTTTGATGAAAACTGTAAACCTACAGATCCAAGCAGCAGCAACAATGAGACTTTCTGATGCTTTGAATGGATACAATCTAAAAACATTGCCATCTATCAAAAATATTTGTCAGTCCTAGTAAATGAGTAACAGTTTTAGCAAAATTGATCTGAGTAAAACATTCCTATCCAATTCAAAGGCAAAAGAGTTTTCTAAGAGGCATGTCTGGTTTCCTTGAGTTTCTGACTTAGCTGACACAGACCAAGGAACATTCTGAATGCTCAATCTACTTGGAATTATAGCTTTTCTATTTTGTCACATAAATATATTTAATAGAAAACTCTGATAAGCACTTTACTTTCTGACAAGATGTTAAGATTTTCTGTCCTGGTATATACCACTTGTTTCCAATTATGTCTAAAAACTCCTAGACTCAGACATCCATATCAGGTATGATCTATCAATCTAGCAAGGACTAGGAGAGAAAAAGTAGACAATGAGGAGGAAAACACTTGGGTGGAATGAAAACTAGTGGCTTGCTTTACTTTATACAGTTGTTCAAGATATTGTTCCTTGAACTCCAGACAGCTCGTGGGGCATTTTTTTCAATCTCATAAAATTACGGATATATTAGTCCAACTTGAAAATATTCCTGTTTAATACCACTGGGTTCTCAAACCATTAACAACCACTGGAACAACAGGAAATGGTTCCTTAATAATTTTTGCGTTTTAAAGTCCCAAATAGAGAAGTTCTCTCTGCCACGTATACCTTCTCAAGTAACTGAGATCAACGTTTGGTTCGTTTCATTCTGCAATATTTTTCTTTATATCGTGCATTTTGCAGTATTTTCTTTAGTATATTTAGACGTATTTAAAACTTGGAGATTCATACAGTCCCTGAGGATCCTAATTAACTCCATGGAATTCAAAATTCTTAAAAAAATTATTCTTTATTTAAAAAAAAATACACACACACATGCATACACACAGGATTGGAATTTTTTTTTTTTTTAGACTACTAACACTATCTTTTACGTTTCCAAGTTCTTATGCCACTTGACTCCTAGTTAACCAGGATATTAATGTATAATCTTTTCATATCATAGGTACCACTATCACATTTCATCAATTTCCTGAAGCAAATTGAGTGAAATCATAAACAAGCACACACTTAAGAGTCAGTATTTATTCTGATTAATATTTTACAAAATTTTGACATTTAATTTATGTAAGGAGGGCTAATTTATTAAACACTTTACAGGTTTTTCTTTCCACAGAATAACACGGTAAGTAGCAAAATAATACTTGGCACAGTTATAAATAAAGAAAATATAAAATAAAAACATCCATAGCTTAAGTACAGTGATGCTGTTTTATGCCCATTAATATCAAATAAATTCCTGGAAACAATAAAAATATGAATGAAAAAAACTCCAAAGAAGTAATTCATGTTCAGTGCTGAGAATTAAGTTGCTATTTGCTAAAAGTATCCAATTAAGTTGATAAGAACTATTCCCAAAGGTTCACCATCATACAC